CAAAAACTAATTAAGAGAGACAGAAAAGGTTACTACACCCTTGTAAAGGGAACAATCCAAGAGGAAGAGATGACAATCATAAATATATATGCACCAAACACTAATGACCCAACTATACAAACAAGCATTAAGGGACAAGAAAAACCAAATAAGCATGAATGCAATTGTAGTGGGGGACTTAAATACCCAACTGTCACAAATAGACAGGTCATCTAGACAAAATTCAACAATGAAATACTAGATCTGAACCAAGCTTTTGAACAAATGGACTTAACAGACATCTACACAGTGTTCCACCCCACAAAATCAGAATATACATTCTTTTCAGTTGCAAATGGGTCAATCTCCAAAATAGACTACATACTAGCTCATAGAACAAGTTTAAGTAAATGCAAAAGAGGTGACATTATCCCATGTATATTATCAGACCATATTACAATTAAACTGGAGATCAATAACAAAAGAAACCACAAGAACTTTACAAACACATGGAAATTGAATAACACTCTCCTGAACAACCAATGGGTAGCAGAAGAAATTAGTTTTTACAAATAAATAACAATGGCAATACAACATACAGGAATCTATGGGACACAATGAAAGCAGTTCTACAAGGGAAATTTATAGCAATAAATGTCCACACTAGGAAAACAGAGGGAGTTCAAATAAACAACCTAATGCTGAATCTTAAGCTTCTAGAAAAGGAAGAGCAAGACAAACCCAAAACCCAAAGCTTGTACAAGGGAGGAAATTATAAAGATCAGAGTAGAAATCAATGCAATGGAGACTAAGAGAATGATACAAAAAAAAAAAATCAAGGAATTGAAGAGTTGGTTTTTCAAAAGAATAAATAAAATCGATCAACCCTTAGACAACCTTATCAAAAAAAGGGAAAGAAAAGGTTCAAATCCATGCAATTAGGAATGAAAAGGTGAAGTGACAACAGATCCAGCATAAATCCAGAGGATCATAAATACCTACTTCAAGAACCTATACTCTCATAAAATGGAAAACACAGAAAAAAATGGACAGATTTCTAGATACATATGAATTACCAAAGTCGAATGAAGAAGGTATAAAAATTCTAAACGCCCCAATTACAATCAGTGAAATTGAAAATGTAAGTAAAAATTTACCAACAAAGAAAAGCCCAGGTCCTGATGGCTTCACTGTTGAATTCTATAAGACATTTAGAGAAGAACTACTGCCATTACTCTTCAAACTTTTCAATGAAATTGAAAGGGAAAGAATACTTCCAAATTCTTTCCTGGAAGCAAGCGTTATGACTCCAAACCAGGGAAAGACCCAACCAAAAAAGAGAACTACACATAGATGCAAAAATGCTCAATAAGATACTTGCAAACAGAATACAGAGGAGTGTCAAGAAGATCATACACCCTGATGATGTTGGATTTACCCCAAGAATGCAAGGATGGTTCAACATATGTAAATCAATAAATGTAATATGCTACATTAACAGAGTCAAGAACAAAAACCATATGATCATCTCTATAGGTGCATAAAAAACATTTGAAAAAATTCAACATCCATTCATGATGAAAACCCTGCAGAAAATTGGAAGAGATGGTCTTTATCTCAAACTGATAAAGGCTATCTATGAGAAACCAACAGCCAACAGCATATCAAATGGTCAAAAACTGAAAACCTTCACACATTAAAATCAGCAACATGACAATGATGTCCACTACTACCATTCCTATTCAATATGGCTTTGGAAACATTAGCCACAGCAATTAGAGAAGAGGAAGAAATAAAAGGAAAGGAAGAAGTTAAACCATCATTATTTGCTGATGATATACTACCCTATATACAGAAGGCCCAAAAACCCCACCAAAAGATTTCTAGACTTAATTGATAGATTCAGTAGAGTAGCTGGATGCAAGGTCAACACTCAAAAATCAAGAGCCTTCTTGTACACAAATAACAGACTTACTGAGAGAGAAATTAGAGAAACAATTTTTTCCACAATAGCATCCCCCAAAAAAGAAATGTCTAGGAATCAATCTAATGAAGGAAGCCAAAGACCTTCACAAATTCAAAACTACAGCACTCTAAAAAAAGAGACAGAAGAGGATATAAAAAAATGGAAAGACATCCCCTGTTCCTGAGTAGGAAGAACCAATACAGTGAAAATGGCCAAGTTCCAAAACTGCTATATAGATTCAAAGCAATCACAATTGAAATCCCAACAGTATATTTCACAAAATTAGAGAAAACAATATAAAAACTCATTGGGAATCAGAAGAGACCTAGAATAGCAAAAGCCATCTAGGCAACAGAGACATGGCAGGAGGTATCACAATCCACAATTTGAAACTATATTACAAAGCCATTGTTTTAAAAGCAGCATGGTACTGGCAAAGAAACAGACCTGAGGATCAATGGAACAGATCAGAAGATGCAGAAACAAATGTAGACATACTCAGCTACCTCATCTTTGACAAAGGAGCCAACCATCCTCACTGGAAGAAAGATAGACTCTTTAATAAATGGTGTTGGAAAAACTGACTTTCAATCTGCTAAAGATTAAAACTAGACCCCTATCTTTCACCATGCACTAAACTGAAATAGAAGTAGATCAAAGATCTAAATATTAAAACAGAAACACTCAACTTGTTAGAAGATAAGCTAGGTAGAACTCTTGAAAACACTGGCATAGGAAAAGACTTTAGGAACAAATCCTCAGCAGCACGGGAACTAGCACAAAGAATTAACAATTGGGATCCCACCTTTTAAAAAAGCTGCACTGCAAGAGAAACCACCAACAGAGCTAAGAAACAACCTACAACTTGGGAAGAAATTTTTACCAGCTGTTTCTCAGAGAAAGGTCTACTATCTAGACTATACAAAGAACTCAAAAAAATCAGGTCCCCCAAATATAACTATCTGATTGAAAAATGGGCATCTGAAATGAACAGACATTTCTCAGAGAAGTAAAAGCAGCAAATAAATATATGAAAAAATGTTCCACATCACTGGTCATTCGAGAAATGCAAATGAAAACAACAATGTGATTCTACCTCACCCCAAAATGAATGGCTGCTATTAAGAAATAAACCAAGAACTAGTGCTGGCGGCGGTGTGGGGAGAAATGAACCCTTCTTCATTTTCGGAGGGAGTGCAACCACTGTGAAAATCAATATGGAGATACCTTAAACAGCTAGGATTGGAAGTCCCATTTGACCCAGCCATCCCTCTGCTGGGTATCTTCCCAAAAGAATTAAAAGAATCATACCACAGTGATATATGTGCACCCATGTTCATAGTGGCACCGTTTATAATAGCTAAAACTTGGAAACAGCCCAAATGCCCATCAACCTGAGACTGGATAAAGAAGATGTGGGTTTTTTTTAAAAATAAAATGGAGTACTACTCAGCCATAAAGAATGAGAAACTAGAGACATTTACAGCTAGCTAAGTGGATGCACATTGAGGACATACTCATAAATGAAATTAATAGGACTCACATGTAAATACTATATAGTTTCTCAGGTGTGATAAACTAAAAGTATAAATAAGGGTCAAAATGTATAATTACTATTTTGTAATAAGAAGAAAAGGCAAATGGGAGGGATAGGGAAAAGGTAATAAGGGAAGAGAAAAAAATAAGCAAAGAGGAAAAAAATGGAAACAGAGTCTCTGTAAATAGGGAAGGGTGGAGGGGGGAAAGAAGGCTAGGGGAATGGAGAAAAAATAAGAACCAAGGCCTGTCATGTAAAGGCACAAGATCCCAATGATGAATATAACTGTATTGTATACCTATATGTATCAATTAAAAAAAGTTTTTTTAAATGCAGTATGTACACACAGTAGAATATTACCCGGCCTTAAAAAAGGAAGTCCTGATACATACTGATTTCAACATGGATAAGCTTTGAAGACATTTAATTAAGCAACACAAACCAGTCACTAAAGGACAGATACCATATGCTTTTATAAGATGTACAGAACACTTAAATTTATAAGACTGAAAGTAAATGGTAGTCACCAGGGGCTAGGAAGAGAAGGAAACTGGAGCTGTTGTTAAATGGGTACTAAGTTTCAGTTTTGCAAGATGAAAAAAGACACTTTGTTGCCCAACAAAGTGAATGTATTTAAATTAGCATTACTGAATTACACACTTAGAAATGGTTACGATGATAAAATATATGTTAGGTCATCTTTACCAAAATTTTAGAAAGGATGTGAGCTGTGGGGTTAAATCATCCAGATTCAAATACTGGCAGAATGCCAAAGAGCCACCTGGCTCACAGTAAGTGAACATTAGTAGCTAATTCTAAATAAACATATTAATTAGAATTATACCAAGTCACCCTGTGTGTCTGTCAGGAGCTACATGCGCCTTTTGGATTGGTGAAGTGAGAAGGTAGTTAAAAGTAATCATTTCTGATGATAAAATCATTTTTCTAACTGAATGACCTTAAGTATAAATTAAGGTTAATCTCTTTCCCCCTAAAAGTTAGGTTCATTCCTGTGGATTTCTCAAGTTCCTTATATTAGAGTCCCAGATCCTTTTTTGCATTAATTTTCAAATCTTAAAAAAAACCTTTAAGCATTCAAATGTATTTGTGTGATGTAAACATACAGTTTCCCTTAAATTAACAATCCATTCTATACATGTACCTATTTATAAAGATCTTTCATCAGTGATTTCAATAATCACTTGCAAGGTTCTACAATGACTGTAGTTTTGACTCACTTATTTCCTTCGTAACGTACTTGTTCAAAATAGTGCCTAATTTTAAAAGCTAAGGACAGATAAGAGAAGAAATAAAATGAAACAAAAGTTAAAGCAACAGAAAATAAGAGAACCCACCTGTGCACCTTTGCTGACAAGCAAGTAGCAGAGATTACATTCTTAGCTCTCAAGGGCAAGCTCACCAGTCATTAGGATAAAAATGGGTACTCATTCAGCAATAATCAAATCCAAAGGAAAACGCAAGCCCTGAGAGCAAGTAGGATTTCATGAACTATCTAACCTGCATAGGGTTAATCTTCACCGAGCGTTCAAAGCACTCCACACAGTCTTGAAACTCCTTGTTGCGAAGATGAAGAAGGGCTTTGGAGCGCTGGGCCCGAGCACTGCGGTGCTGGGACAGCTCCCAGGCCTTGTCATAGCAGGAGTGATCTCCAAGGACATCTCCCAGCAAGCAGTACAAACTTGGTGTTTCTTTTTTCTCCAGCTCTTGCCTAAGGATTTCTTCTGCCTAGAAACAACAGAAATAATAAAAGTACTTAACTGTGACCAACTGCTACTTTTTATCACATATACATACCTGATCCAAATTTTATTTTCGACATCTGTGATTACTTGCTTATTTCACGTGGCTAGGACACAGGCTGCATGAGAGGCCCAACAGATAATAAATATGGTATAAGTAAAAGAGAGAAGAAACAAAGATGAAGAGGTGAATCCTCCTTTACTGGTCTTCTGGAACCCCAAGGAAAGGATCTGGGGCAAACCCATGTAGCTCCCTGGCTCTCTGTTCTGGTGGTCACCTTTGTGACCATGTTTTTAGAGCACAGCCTTTAATTCACCTCTATCAAACAGCAATGGAAAGCATATTTCTTTTCTTTTCTTTTTGGCTTGCATCTTTAATGTTATGATGAGGAATTTGGGACTCCCAGGCTTATAAATTTATAAAAGAAGGGGCAGGATACAATTCAACAAGCATTGCTAAAAGAACAATCTCTTAACGAAAGAACATATCAGCTCACAATTAAACTTTATTTCAGATGCCCTGTTCATGTTTGTTTGTTTGTGATAGCGTCTCCTAAAGTTTAGGCTGGCCTCGAATTCACAGTGATTCTCCTTGCCTCAGCCTCCTGAGCGCTGGGCTTACAGGCATACACCACCATGCTCCGCCCATCCATTTTAGGTATTAAAAATTGTTCCCCAGTTGCTTAATAGGTTTGGGTATTATTCCCATAAAACCATAATTCAGAGCTACCTCATCATTCAAGTTAGTTCTGTACTTGTTACTACTCATCTTTGACTTTCTCCTATCCGTATCTGCCACTCATTCCTGGTAAAAACTTCAACAGACAATAAAAAATATGTGTATCTGCATGCTTTGCAACTGCTCACACACAAGCAACTTCACACAAACAGCATGGCATTGGGCCAGGGATTTAATTCAGTGGTTCCGCCACCTGCCTTACAAGCGCAAAGACCTGAGTTCGATCCCTGGTGTCAGGCGTAAAGCGCCAGCATGGACGCTATCTTAGTTAAAGGTTAAGCTCGCCCTCCTGAGAAAACAAGAAAGGACCAAGGTCACTAAAAAGGCAGAGTTTTATTCAGGACAATGGTCAGGAACAAACACCAAATGTGAACATTCCAGGTAGAAGAGAGAGATGATTCCCCTAAAGATTAACCATAGCCCTACACTTTGTCACAGAGATGGCATTCCTATAGAGATTAACCACAGCTCTGTACTTTGTCACAGATATGTCAGCCTCATCCTGTGCAAACTATATGTTCTGTTCCTTTCTTCTAACCGCTGTATTTCACTTCTGTAATTTTGCTTGCTTCCGTCCTATCTAGAAATGTATAAAACCCACTTGTACTCTGGGCTCGGAGCGCTCTCCAAGTCGTTCTTGGAGGGGCCATCTGGCCAGACAAAAGGTCTGTTTGACACTATTCTTGGGTGTGGCTTGTTCAGTTCCTCTGGGGTGTTGTCTTGCTGTCACTGATAGGTAGTTCTTCAGAACATTTAGTTAAGATCCCTTGTGGTCTTACACCCAGTATCAAAAAACAAAAACAAAAACAAAAGCAAACCCAGCGTGTCACTGCCAAAGATGCTACGACAGCCAGGAAGGCCACCCTTTACTAAGCTAGAATGAGACTTTAAAGTCCCTCAGGTATGTAAACTGGCAATCTAAAAGTGTATGTTGGGTTTAATTCAGGTCTTTGGTTTTGAAGCCACACGGTTTCTCTGACATCTTTTAAAAGAGGGACATGCTTTTGAAAGTGACTTTGGATGTTACTCTTCTGCATTTCTGACACGTAAGGGTAATACTTCAGGTCAAGTCTCAAGATAGAACCAGAAGTGATAAAACAGTTTCTAAGGGAAAACAATTGAAATAGCCAGGAGTAGAAGGAGGACATTGATTAGGAAAGAAAACAAGACTCAGGAATTTAAATAGGAACATCTGAGATGACTCAGACAACAGAAGCCCCCAATGGTAGTGAACATCCTATACCCGCAGAGGCAGCGTCCTCTACCTGATGAGACAGATGCTACCCTGCTTGAAGATACTACAAGGACTACACCTTTGCATCCCTCATTGCCTCCAGATGTATAGAGTCTTACTTAAAAAAGTGCAATGTTTTGTAAATTTATAGATGGAAACCTTGAGATCCCATGGTGAAGGAGTTGTAAGGATGCTAAGCCTGGAAGAAATTGGATCATAATTTAAATCAGGTTGAATTCAGATACTCACCAGAAAGTTTTGATTCACGGTGTTAACTCAAGCAGTTGCAGACAGTTCTAAATTACCTGTTCAAGTGCTGGACTAAAACCTGGACTCAAACACGTCCAAAACTAAAGGAAGTTGAGATACCAGAAATTCCTTGTTGTAATGTGGAGGAAGGAATCCAACAACATAGAACAAAGAGGCTATTGTTAATTCATCTTTTACAACCTGAAGCAACTACCCCCTCCACTCTGTCCTCCAGCAGGTGCCAGGGGATATTCCCTTCACCAAGGATTTGAGAAATACATTGCATAGGAGAGATCCAGCATACTTGAGAAGAGCTACAATAGATGTCCTACATAAGTCTGGCAGGTCTTCCTGTTGAAATGGAGACAATTAGAACCCAGGATGGGAGTCACTAACAGTATTGAGTTCCCAGGAGCAAGATGAGCATAGTTATTTGCAGTAAGCACAGCTAGAGTAAGAATTATTAGGCTAGCGCAGATCTTAAGTGAAGGACTGACCATGAAACTTTAGGGCCAAATTAAATGGACAGGCAGCTAAGTTCAAACTAGATATATGCAACAGTTTAAAAAAAAAATGTTCAATTAAAAGAGCAGATGCCCTAGTCTCTCACCCAAATGCCACCCCTAAGGCACTTCCAAGACTCACAATTCAAACTAGATATGCAACAGTTTAAAAAAAAATGTTCAATTAAAAGAGCAGATGCCCTAGTCTCTCACCCAAATGCCACCCCTAAGGCACTTCCAAGACTCACAACTTCTTTTTAAAAATAATAAAGTGAAACCAGTATCACTTACGAAGAACTCTGTGATAACTCAAGTATGTAACACAACTTTCCTTCTCAGGTCTTTTCCAAAGAAGTAAATATAACCATTTACCAAGAATTTGCATCCTGAGGAAGAAGAAATAGCTGTCTTTTAGAGATAATGGTTAGTTAATGCTAAGTCTTTAGGACCCAGAACACAACTGCGACGAGTGAGGCAGTTCACAGCAGTGAGCCCACCCTGCAGTGGCCATAGTTTGAACCCACCCAGTGGTTTGCTAGTTCCTACACACAGTTGAATTAGGGAAGCGGAGTCCCTGAGTGCAACCACAGCATACTGACCAGCAAAAGTCCTTGAAGCTTCCTCTCCCCACTAAATAAGTAAATGCAAAGCAACACTGTATGTCTATGAAAGCCACAGAAATTTGTTTCACCAGCAAAATCTTGAAAGATTTACCAGGAAGAGTGGGTAGGTGCATGTGGGGGGGGGGAGCTGGGTGGTTGACTTATTTATTTAAAGTAAGAAAACATATGGGTCCTGGAAAATATCGTGGATTATTACAAACTTAATACAGGGGTGGCTCTAACTGTAACTACCGCCCCAGATATGATCTCTTTACTGAGGAAATAAACACTGGGAAGCAGGTAGTGGCATAGTAAATATGCTTTTTCTCTACCCATTAACCAGAAAATGCCAGATCCGGGGAGCTTTCACTAATACAGAAAAAATTACACTTGTAATTGCAAGTTAGGTTTGCCCCAGAATTACATGAACTTCATGCTATACTATAGACTACAAAGAGCTTAATTGTCTCACTATCCCATTAGACCTCATCAGTCAGTGATCTTGATGACATCAAGCTAATAAACTCCAAGAAACCAAATATAAAAACTGTGTGCCAATGTCAACCAAAAGCCAAATGGAAATGATTAGATGCTTGACACCTTGATTTGTTATTAGAATAATAAGTAATATATAAAAACTCATTTACCTCTAAGGAATTCATCTATTAAATAAAACACAGTTTTAAAAATAAATGCTGAATCCTATGTATTCCAGGAACACTTCATATGTAGACACTTTTTAAAAACATTTTTAAAGTTTCCTCATGTGAGAAATCTTCTTTAACTATATAACACAATCTACCAAATACTCTACCTGCTAGCAGTTTGCCACTTTCCAAAAAAGACACTCCTAAATTAAAGGCCTAAATCCTGCATGTTCATTATTATGCTATGTCAACTTGTTTAATATGGAAACTACACTTCCTAAAACCCCTTCATTTTATTTTCATGTCAGAGTTGGCCTGCTGGGGACTGAAAGGCAGAGGGAAGCGACAGACTACATGGCAAAGCTGTCACGATCAGAGAGGCAGTCACAGGCGACACGGCGCCACCCCACAGATCAGAGCTCATCCTTCTGCATGTGTCACACTTCTCTTTCCCATTGCTGGCCCAGCCGATCAACAGCAGCTCCAGGTCCCATTAGACCTCCGCTGTGGATTTACAGGGCTGTTAGCCACCAAGATACTCAGCTTTCCACAGACCTCTCCGCAAGCTCCCCTTTCACAGTCCTGTTTCAATGGTGGGAGGCATGTGGCTTCTTGGCTTGTAAATTCTGACTTACCCACTCCTGTCAGTGCTTCAAGTAGACTGGTACATGATTATTTCCCTCTTCCACACCTTTGTTTTTCTAGCTCTTCCCATGTTTGTGAAAAATCTAACTCCTTTAGTAAACCCCTTATTCCTAATATTAAAATTGAATTTGCTTCCATAAAGGAAGCAACTCTGAATAATGCACATTTTTTATTTTTTAACATTTTAAACTCCCTGTAAATCCTTGCATTTGACAGTGATTTGTAGGATAGCTTTATTTTATTTTAGGAATGAATTTATTGTTAAATGAATTATCTCACTGGCAAACAGAATAGAGAGAGTCATCAAGATCATACAGCCTGACCAAGGGGGATTTATCCCAGGGATACAAGAATGGTTCAACATAAA